GTGAGGGAGTGAGCACACCAATGTGTCCCCTGAAGCCCCACAGGCTAGACATGACTATATCCAGTGAGCCAGTACGGCCTGACGGAGTGCTTACTGCACGCATGCTGTGCAAGACAAGCCTTGTGAAGAAACGAAAAATAAATAAACGAGTAAGTAAATCAGAGGCTTCCACAAGACCACGCCATTTACACAGCAGCATAACTACCGTTCAAACTTCAGAGTCACGCGTAGTTTCACTATTTCACGGTCTTCTTTAAAATTCCTCACGGCATTCAACTAGTCTTTCAGATCGCCTCTCAGTCTGACTCGCCTTTCTCTATTACAGGCAACTTTCGCTTTCAGGTTGAAGTTTGCATTACTTTATCCTCCAGTGCAGTGCCAATTCCAGAATCTGTGGCACGGAATATCTCCTCTATATATTAACATCAGTACTTTAGATATAAAGACTCTCAAACCTATCCCTCGATGAATAAATCATGTTAGAGAAACTACTTTTGCTAATGTTTTCTTTTCTTTCTTTTTGTATTGCAGATTGAACTCAGGACCTTGCGCTTGCAGAGGCAGCTTCGGTGCCACTGAGCTAAATCCCGGGCTACTTTTGTTAATTCCTTGACTTGTGAATTGTGTGGCCTTTGTTTCAGTTACTCACTTGTTGGAGGTCATCCCTCCTCACTCTTTAGTGTCCCAAGCCCTAGAGAGTCCATCTCTGAATTCCTGCCTCTTTTCCATCTCCAAGGATTTTGCATTCTTGCTTAATGCAATCATCACTTTTCTCTCATCTTCCTTCCCACAGCCTCTCTCCTTTCAGTAAACTTCATAGTAACTATCACATTTACTAAGCAATCCAAGACACAGTCCTAATTTTCCCAAACAAATGTTTCAATGGTTTTCTGAGCCTAACTGAATGAAGGCTTCTTAAAAATAAATATTCAAGGTCCTCTACCATCTGAGCCCAAATAACACCGACAGTCGCTGTGCCCCTTTTGTGTACCCTGACTTTCATCCAAACTAACTCAAATCCAACCCCAAGAAGACACTTTTTTTTTTGTACTGGGGATTGAACTCAGATCCTTGCACTTGTGAGGCAGGTGCAGTGCTACTGAACTAAATCCCCGGCCCAAGAAGACATTTACGACACCAGAATCACCTGGCACATTGATGCACATCTGTAATTTCAGCACTCTGGGAGTATCACCAGGAGTATCACCAATTCATCAGCCTGGAAAACTTAAGAGATTTAGTGAAAGTTTGTTTCAAAATAAAAATAAAAGAGGCTCAGAGATGTAACTCAGTGCAAAGGCCCTGTGTTCAACCCCATTACAGGGAGGGAGGGAGAGAGGGGGAGAAAGAGAGAGAGGGGGAGAGAGAGGGAGAGGGAGAGGGAGAGGGAGAGGAAGAGCAAACAAATGACATTAAGACCTTAAACATACAGTTGGGAATCTTTCCAGTGTTCAGTATCTCTGCTGCACAAAATTATATGCATGTAAAGGACAGCTTATAGATACCACCTTATCTATGAAGTTTTGTTTTTTGGGGGGGTTTGTTTGTTTGATGTTTGTTTGTTTGTTGAGACAGGGTCTCACTCTGTAGTTGAAACTGACCTAGAACTCACTAGGCAGCCCAGGCTGGTCTCGAAATATCATCGATCCTCCTGCCTCAGCCTCCTGAGTGCTGGGATTACAGGCGTGCACCACCACACCCAGCTTCTCTTTCTTTTCTATGAGCCTTGTAGCACTTTAATAGTCATGGTGACATTCTATGTCACAGTATGATGATTTGGTTATAGATTTTCACATCAAGTGTATTCAACACGTTCTATGAACAAAGGACACTGAAAAGTATGTTAGGAGAACAGATTCAGTCTGAGTGAAAGCAATGGGAAAGGACTCTTGCAAAACAAAACAGAGTTAGGTGGCATAGAGAGTTATTCATGTGGTTGAATGACCTAAGGACCAAATAAAATAATGACTACAAAGTACCTTTAAGACACCTGATGAATTTACCAATTAATTTAGCAAGATTAGATGATGAAAGAAAAGGTTAAGAGGACTGAAAAATCACAATGAGGAAAGAGAATGGAAATAAGTTAAGACTTTGGAGAAACGTGTATATGAAGGGAGCCTTACCTGGAAGAAGAAGCAAAATTTCAATGATTAAAACAGATATAATTTTGTATAAGTGAGGATTTTCAAAAAATGGTTCTAAATATCAATAAACCGAGAGGTGTATTATATTTATGTTCTATGGTAAATAACAGAAATCTAGATTTTGGTAATCTAAATTACAGCTTTTAATAATGTCTGATCAATTGATTTTTTTAAATTTGATAAAGCTATTTGGCAGTTACAAGATTGCTAGTAAAAGGCACACTGACCTCCTAAATTCTTTTTTCACTCGCTTTATTCATCACATGATAAGAATAATAAAAATAGAGAAGTAACCCTCTCTTCTAAGTATCAGTAATATCTTCTTACGTTAATAGCTTTTCTAAAAATAATTGTGTACATTTTACTTTCATCTATATGAAACAATATCTGCATCTTTTTCTTTTGTATTATAATCAGCTACTCATAATGTAGACCACTCCATGTTCAGCAAACATATTAATTATTTATGGACATAATAGCTTAAGATATATAGAGAAAATTTTAAAAATTCTCCACATTAGGTATATTTGCCATGAAATATAGGTTAAGGACCTAGTACTGCATCACTCAGCTGTAAGTTTCAGAGCTACTTACAAAATTCATGCTTTCTAACAATTCATACTAATAATTTATAAAAATCCCATGTTTCTTCCTTGCAAGTACTCCTACTGATCATGTGATAATTATAACAAAACCACTACATAATTTTCAAACACCTTTTCTTGCAACAAGAAGAGAAAAGTCTAGTCTTATTTTTGGACTTATACAAACCTGCTTGAAATTAGAAATACCAAACAAATGGTAAATCTGATTGTGCAAAGCGACACATCAGATACATGCAGTTTGTAAATAATATATATAAAATTTTCATTAAGAGCAGTCTTATGCAACAAGTTATGATAAAAGCCAGATAACATGATTCAAAGTTTAAAGAATTTTGCAAATTAAGAACAGGAGAAATAAAAGGGAAAGCTACACTACTCAACATTAGCTCCTTGAATACAATAAGTCAGTAATTTTATTATACAGTGTCTGCCTTTTATTATTAGTTTAAATCTATGTGCATTCATAATTCATATTCTATCAATAAAGAAAAAAATTGTAAAAGCTGTACACAACCCAAAATCAGAGTGATGTTTTTTTCTCTCTCATTGAGTTTACTGGCACATTTCACTGCTATTCTTACCGTTTCCTCAACGCTCCTCACATCTGCCCTTCCCACTGCATGTACCTCTCGCTCTTCACAAATCTAAATGGTTTCCTCCCTCACACCTTCATACCTGCTACTTTCTCTCCTTATCAGAGAAGCCTCCTTTAGACAGTGTATTGGAAATAGCATCCCATCATTCTGTATTTACCCTGCTTTTTGTCTTAGTATTTATCCCTACTGACATATTATATATATATATATATATATAT